GAAATGACGCACTGTTAAGAAGCTTGGGAGCTTGCTACCACATGAGTGATCCCTTGTTCTTAGCCCTTCCACGCTACCCACGTCTTTCGGTCCTCAGCGGGTGATAGGCTGGTAACAGACCTGTCTGGGAGGGTGAAAAAGCTGGCCTGGGCATCACCCCTCCTCCGTGTTCCTCCCTAGAGGTTAGATACTGTCAGCCTGCTCCCAGGTACTGCTGCTGAAAAGACAGAGGGAGTACTGTAGGTAGCTCTTCAGAAGTATCGATCGCTATTTAAAGTAGTATTGTAGCTAGTACAGTAAAAATCTCTACTTTGACGTTCTGCAAAGAGTAAGTAACCGGCAGCACCCACATGTAAGTTGAGGAACTACTTCTGCAACCCCCACCGTTCTTGAAACTGAGCCCGAACCATGTTCAACATACCGTAATGGGTTTTTAGGCCATCCTGGTAAGGTAATCGTTTACCCAACTGATTTGTTTACAGTGTAATAGTGAAAATATCATAGCAACTGGTTGACGGACATTTTTCTAACTTCAGATAAGGGTATTATCGATTATGTCTGAAGTGGTTACAAAGGCTGCTGAAACTCTCTCAAGCAGAATGTGATCGACTGGCTCGTAAAATGCCGAAAAAAAACCAACGGCTTACTTGTTAGTACTTGATGACTCGTCATTACAAAACCTTTTACTCCTTGAAACTTCTCGAACGTGATGGAATTGTTTTTGAGGAACGCGAATGCCTAACAGATATGGCATCAATTAACTGTGAATGGGAACGTTGAATAGGGTGAAACGGGAATTATCTAGCTCCTTAGCCGTTTGAGTTTTCTTAACGGGAAATTTCTCATTTTTGGAATTATTGGTTATTAGCGCTAGGAAGTGACCTGTAGAATATTCAATTTATTCAACGATCTATTTAGAGCAGTTTCCCTTCATCCCACACAATCTGCACTTTGGATATGTATTTAATTATTTTTATTGGTAATTATTTAGCACCCAACTTTATCAAAGTTTATGTCTTTATTAAATCATTTTACATTTATATCCATTTATCGGAGACAGGACGTTAAAAATTTGAAGAGATAGGTAAGGATTCTATCAATATTCAAAAAAGTTGGGGTCCAGCTATTTCATAAATTTGAAACAGCAAAATACCAACAGACAGGGTATTGAACCCTTTGCCCCTTATTCATATGCGTGCGATTTTCGGGAAAACTGAAACATCGAACGTTCAAGTACCGAAAAAAGTCCGAATTATCATTAATTCCACTTAAGAAGTAAGTGGAATTCGCTATCAATCAGCCGTTAGATTATGACCAGCCAGTAATGTTGGCTTCGAATTCTCGATTTTTTTTGGGGGGTTTCATCTTAAAATAATCAAATATATGAAAACCTGCGCAAAAATATCTCCAATTAGACATATGAACTACAGAGAAATGAGAAATTTTGAAGAATAAAAGAACCTTTTTAAAAATGTAATCGATAGGCGTTCAAGAGATAAAAAGTGAAATAATCCTCTCTAAAGATCTAATGAATAACATTCTGAAGCGAAACTGTGAGTTCTTCAGTTCCAGGTGGAAAAATCCCTTTTCGTGAGAGCTAATCGGAACAAATTGTGCAGAATTTAGAGGCAATCGAAGACGTGGCTAGTACTGAATTCAATTATATACGGGCCAGCTGAGCTTCCTGCCAATATCATCCTTTCCCAGACGAATTAACAGCTTCCCATTTGCAGGCTGAGAAGTCCCATGGGCCTGGATGAAGTTCGACCCCAGGGGAAGTGGAACACTGCAGTAGGGCTCATTTCCTAACAGATAGTGTCCGTACAGTCAGAAAATCCCAATTCTCACCAAGAAGCTTTGAGGAGACCAAGTTATTTCGAGCTTTATCGATTGCAGCAGGTCAAGATATATTGAGCTCTATCGATGGCAGCAGATCAAAATAATTTGACCTTTATCGATTGATCCCCAGAACGCCTCCAGCAAATATGAGGCCAGTAGAGATAGTTGACAAAAAATTATAGCTAGTAAAGAAAGCTCCTCAAATGGGTGTATCAGGAAGTTATAAAGGACGCTTGTGAAATCAGAATGACACAACAGTCAAAAACTTAAAAAATTATTACAAAATAGGGCGTCAACTCTTCAAAATGGGAACAATTTTATTTACGTTTTCATCAACGGAAACTATGAGTCATTAACAGTGTCCCGCCCTATTCTCATCTAGAACAACAATTACTCCGATGTAATACTGTGTGATTCAACGTATGTCGGCGAGGATGGGGGAACCGCCCAACCCCACCCCTTTCAAGAGTATAAAAGACCGCGCACCCCAACCCACTCCACTAAGATCAACGTTGCTTACTCGTTACTCTGTAAAGGTTAGCAGTTCATATTCGGCTGACTACTTCCCCCATATTCTGTGTTATTGATTTCTTCATTAATCGATATTGTCTTCATGGATTACAGCCTTTTACTGTTACTTTAAACGAACATGTGATGAAGTTTCTTTTATGTTTAATGGGCTATTACAATCCTTTTGTATTTCGTTGGAAGTCACTGAAGGTGATGGTGGCCTTCAGGAGGGTCCAACGTGAACGACTTCCCAATCTTCCCTTAATCCTTATCCTCCCTGGCACCATATTTAACCTGGAAGGCTGGGAGGCACGAAAATCCAGGATGGCTTCCATCTTACTGTAGCCCAATTGTACTTTAAAAATATAATTTGATGTAGTTCTATGTCAGGCAGTAGTGAGATGGAATAGTAAGAATACGGTAAGAATTTGGATCCGGACTGCACTTTCGTTCTCGTCGGCTGACCGTACCATAGATCAGGGCTCGTCCCGGGGACGCTTTTACCACGTAGTGCCAGGAACGGCTCCTTTTTTTGGATTTTATATTAGGTTATAGAACTTTTATGCGTAATATAACCATTATGATTTGTAACCGAAAAAAAAACCAAACCCATTGCCCCCTCCGATGTTTGACATGCCAACTCAACTGAATGGCATTGTTCGACCGTACGGTGCAAACACCTTCGGGACCACACATCGAAGGTGACTTTACTTGTTGGCTTTCTCTCTCTCATTCGCTTGCTTTCTCTCGATTTGGTGATTTTTCAACGTTCGAACTATGGAACTAGTTGTCGGTCGATCTCTACACCCACTCACTCATTGACGCCGCGTTGGAGCCGTCGGCGACAACGCGCGGATCACGCCCGCGACATAAAAACATCCAGCGACTTCACGTGATGCCCATGAAATCGACGACGACGATGCCGCCGAGTGTTTGTGTTCGAAAACGATTCATTCAGCCCATTTCCATCGATCCATGCCAAAATAACTCTAAATTCAGAATTTCGGTAGATCACTATGTCGATTGGGGCGCGTTTTCTTTCCGGGTAGATCACTATGGTTGATTGGAGCGCATTATCTTCTCCTAGTCTCCTCTCTCGCCGTTGTTCTTGTAAAATTACGGTTCTCAGCTCGATTTGAGTACAAGTGTCCAAGCAACGTGATATAAAAATTTTCTATTAAGAAAACTCCAAAATGGCGGTGACGATGCGACGTAATTGGTTCGATGACGAATTCGCTTTACGACATCGCGATTCATGGTGGAGCCGTGACGATTGGTTCGACGACTGGAAGGATTGGCCAGCCGATTGGCCTCGACCAAGAGATCTCATGAGCAGGGTGAATGAGTAGAGGACATGCGGACAGCGATGTTATTGAAGGTGGTGTGGGTGATGGTTGTACCGAGGTAACTTGGTCTATTTTGACCACTTACGCTTCCTCGTAACCTTGCCCTCGTCACTTCCAACACATTGCCGTTCTGACTCCAACCCTTTTTTTTTCAAGAAAATCACTGAAAAGCTTTTTCTATTTTCACTGGTGATCGATTGGGATCGTTACCTACAACAATTAATGATTAAAAATTATAGCCTTTCAGAAAGTTTTTTGTCAGGTTTAAGTAGCTTCCTTTTTCAAAGGAAAGGGTCTGAGGAAATAAGTTTTAAAAGGAGAAAGTATTACATTTTAAGGAGGGTGACTTTCGAGTACGAGCCAATACAGGCAGCATTACCAGTATTGCTTATACTCGAAGACCCTATAATAAGAGTGGTGGGAGCCCACATGAACCGTAATTTTTTTGGATCTATTGTATGATCCAAAAACTGAGAACAGCCAGGATTCAGAGCCTCACAGACTGTCGTAACAGACAAAAGCTGTGCGCGTACTTTTGTGAACAATTTAGTAGCGAAGAAGGTTTTTCCGGTTTCATTGACCATTTCAACCGAGAGAGAGAGGGTGTTGGACTTGCTTTTAGTCCTCGGCGACCCGTCGGCCCATTACGATCCAGTCCCCCAGCAACCACACAGTCAATGTCACTCTCCTCATACCTCACAACGTGTATGTATCATCCCCAGCAACTCCTCCCACTTCACAGTCCCACACTGTACCCCTCCCCCACTTGTGAACCCGTCAATTATCAGCTCAACCCTTTCTAATGCTCTAAACGATCGCTATATGGGTATTATTGGGACACACGTTCCCACTGGATCTCTAACACTTTAATTGTTTTGTTTTTATTGTTTTAATATTTTTATTTTTTGTTATAGTTCTGGCGCGATACCGATCATTGGTGGCGTGATTGGCCGTCGGACTGGCCTCGCATGGATGCTGTCATGCCGAGAGTGAGTTCCGTGCAATTTTTTCCTCCCAAAAAAAAACTCCCAGATGATAGTTGAAAAGTCAGAAAGCTTTTCCCCCTTTGATGACGTAATAAAGTGGGAATTTTTATTGTCATCTGCGTGGATGCAGTTCAATGCAGGCATAGAAGGGGCTGCGATTTGTGCAAATATTGCAATAGGGGCAATAGTTCTACGATCGAAATCGTTTATCGAACTGGTTTCGGAAACAGCCCCGACCCCCTCTCGCCCATGCTATGGAATAAGTTTCGTAAAAGTTTTTCTTTTCTCTTTTAGCAGTAGTAGTAACTCTACTAAAGAGTTCAGTAACCAGTAATAATCGATTTCTTTTCAGTTCACTTCTCATCTGGATCGTATCGATCGCAATTGGAGAAACGATCCGTTCTGGCAAGACATCTATCCACGTTGGGCCGAGCCAATCTTTAAGGTAGTAACAGTTCCTTTTACCAGTTGTAATAAATCATTCCCTAGGGTATTAAAGCTGAAATTCTTCTTTTTAGGAGGGTATTGACGTTCACTCCAACATCATCAACGATGAGCGGAGATTTGCCGTTGAAGTGGACTGTTACCAGTTTAAACCTGAGGAAATTCAGGTAAATATTTGCATTGCTGGAAAAAAGTAAGCAATACAGTGAAAGAACTTTACCTTGTGTATGGAAAGAATCAATCAGAGAAGAAATTCAAGGCTATATTTTTATGTATATTGTAATTCACACTTTTCACTCATACAGTGACACGCCCACCTGTAACCGATCGATATTCGGGAGATTTAATGCTAATTATTTCGAATAGTTCAGCTGAATTTCATGCCACTTGGAGCCATAGAGCTTTATCAGGGTTTTTCTTGTGTGATCGTCCGAAAGCACAATAATTTTAGCCGAAGTAAAACCATCCAAGTAATGGGAATCTGAGTAAAAGGGACTTTTATTGAATGTTGATTGAGAAACCGAAATAACACTACTAAAATGTAATGTGGGAGTAAAAGTAGAGAGCAACATGTACAGAAGCATAAAAGTTAACCATTCAATTCATTCGATTTCTCGACCCCTTTTTGATGACATGGCATATACCAGTACATTTACCTAGATGATACTAAATGGGAGGTCCACACATAAAAACCACCCATCTGCTTAAACGAACAATCGATAATTGGGGTTCATGTAATACTAGCCGATTCCTTTTTTTCCATCACATTATGAATACATTATTCCACGATTCGTTCGTTTTCGATTCAATCGATAACGAACGGAATCAAAAGGCATGTGAATAATGGTGAACATGAAGGCTTAATCAAATATGGACCACGTGTCGAAGCTGATGTCAGTTAATGCTTGCAGAAGCCTTGGATGTTCCGGAGAGGAGGCTTCCGTAAAAACACTCGGGTTATATTTGTAAATTTTTTTAGCCGAAGACGCTAAACGCGTGCATGGGTGGGTGGGGCAAATGAGGTCATTCTGCAACTCTAATTGGTGGGTGTTTACTTCAACGGGCAACGTAACAAATGTCCGTGAGTAGAGGCATAATGAAATGTCTTAAACGCACACGGTCTGTCCATTGCTTATAATCATTCGAATACTAGTAATAACAAGTTGAAAAAAGTAATATAATAATATGAATAATAGTAACAAGATTGCAATTTTTTAGGTCAAAACTCAAGACGATACGCTGATGATTGAGGGACGTCATGAAGACGTGCGTGACCGTGACAACTTTACTAAAATGTATTTTGTACGAAAATATCAGATGCCACGTGACGTCGATCATGCTCGTATTTCAAGCAGTATTGATTCTCGAGTAAGTTCTGGTGGCTACTTATATTTCTAGGGTACAGTGAGAGGCGTATTTCGGGCACCAGGCTCCGGTTTCGGGCACACACCATCTACCAGAAGTTTGGATTCCGATTCTGAGCTTTGAAATTCCGGTCTTTCGTGCCATGACTGAACTCCCAATGAGTCATTCCCTTTCCAGGGACGTCTCACGGTCGAAGCACCTCGTCGATATGCGGTTTCGGGAAGAGACAGAATGATTCCGATTGAAGGCAGTGGGCAACGTTCGCATTCGTCATCATCACACCGTGAGCGAATGCAAGAATCTTCATATTCAAGTAAGCATTAAAAGCTCATAAAACTACTAGTAAAAGCTTACTACATAGTACCAGTGCTAGTCACAATAGTTATTGGTTATATAACCACACTAACCCCAGGTAATCGTCGACGGTGGTGTTGCTAACATGAAATAACGGATTTCAAGATCAATCATCCGATTTTTTCACCTGAACTGCCTATCAGCCACACAAGCTTTGGAGCATCTCTCATGTCCATGTCATTAGAACCACGTAGATGCTTTCCGCTTGCGTTTCACAACAAAAGTAATTGGTCTCCCAGGCCAAAATGCGATTCGTTCAGCACAGCAACAGTGATTACCACACCATCTGTCTGCTGGTGGCTTGGGAAGTGGGATGCCTTATGCATGGCTCATGCTGTAGTCACTCTTTACGCGAATTCGAATAATTCTGCTAGTCTTTGATGGAATGGATTACATATTCAGTGAATAAAATCTGTTTCGTAATGGAGGTACACGCAAATTCTGAAGATCTTGAAATATCACACTGACTCTTCCCCCCTCAATCCGTTTTTGGTTTCACACATCTCAAGGTATGGGCGGAGGTGGTGTAATGGCAAGTTGCGCACAATCAGACGCATGAACACGGGTTCGAATCCTGAAGCGGCACCCGCATAGGCAAACCAAGCGTTCCAGCTCTTCGAGATCGGTTAATTGGCACCAGACCCGTCTGAGAGAATAAAAGCACTGACCTGTGCAGCGGCTGCACCGCAAGTCATTGTATAGGCCACATACGCATTCATTTCGCCACCTCCATTCTGAATGGGAGTTGAATGCGGGGCGCATCCCAGAAATGGAATCGATTTTCGGCCAAAAACTTTGTCTGAATCACTCTGAAGTGGTACGGTCTAATCATGAAACGTGATTCTCCCTCTATTGACATGGATCTATCGAGAACAGCACCTTGGTTCGAATGGATAACGAAAAACTGATAGGCAGTTCAAGGATACGCCACACAACCGGTCTTCCTGAAAAACATAAGGGCATTTGGGTGAAAATGTAGTTGGGGGGGGGCCACCCATCCGAAGCTCAGTATATCAAGAAATGACGTCAATGAAACGCGTTATGTCGTGTTATATCACGGACATGCCAGTTTTGAATAAGGGCTCTCGTAGGGAAGGAGCACCGCGGTGGGCAAGTTTTCTTTACTTTTTCTTCTTTTTGTTTGCAGGAGGTAATCATCCCACCCACCCGGGTGCTCCTACCCTACCTAGGCTTATTTGGGACTCTAAATTTCCCTGGCTGAAACTGCATGAAAGAGCTATGGTGGTCGGTTCCCATCATCCTCAACGCATTCGATAGAGTGCTGATATAACAAGGACTAACACGTTAGAATGAGTTTATTTCTTGATATACTGAGCTTCGGATGGGTGGCCCCCCCCCAACTACATTTTCACCGGGCATTTGAATCCATATTTGGCATAAACAACTACATACGAGAGCTACATAGTGAAAACCTCGGGTTTTCTGTGGAAGGAGGGCACCTCTTCATCGGTAGGAACAGTTCCGCTCCTAAACGTGTCAGTGGTATAGCACCCTTCCCAATGCGCATGCTCCAACTAGATTCAAATTAAATTTTTTCCTTGGAACAAAGCAAAGCACATGTTCCTAAAAAACACATGGACGGCACCCTATAGCTCGTTTTGAACGTTTTACTGTTCCTTATTACCAAGAGGAACCCGATCAATAAATGTACTCACCCGCTGGCCCCAAGAAATGTTGCTGGTCTCGGACGCGTGCGGTCGCGATGCGCTCAAGTGAGCAAGTCACCGAAAATATTTCTGTACCAGCGAAGTCTTGCATCTCCACCAAAAAGTTATTGATCCGATACAATATCGATCCCATAAGACGGTCAGCAGAATCAACAAAATTCCCGTATATAGCGCCTACGGTGTGAGCGGTGCATGACGCATACCATCTTCCAAGCCACCAGCAGACACGTAGCTACTGGAAACTGTGCCAAATCACTAGGCATTCTCGGAGTATGTACATAGTATATCAAATTTATTTTTGCAGACGGCTCGCCACGTGGAACCGAGGTCCCTCTTCATGTTCAAACTGAAGACTCCCGTGAAAGTCGTGCTCGAGAGGTCTACATAGCGCGCGACGACAGGACCGAACGTGAACGTGAACGCGATCGAGAGCGAGAGCGTGAACGGGAACGGGAACTCGAGAGGGAACGCGAGCTTGAGCGAGAGCGCGAACGTGAACGCGAACGTGAACGTGAACGTGAACGTGAACGAGACCGAGATAGGGACCGAGAACGCGACCGCGAACGTGAAATCTACATCCGGCGCGAAGATGATCGAGAACGCGACCGAGTTCGTGATCATGAAGTTCGCGTCACCTCACCTGGCGAATCTTACACGACATCGTCCAAATACAGGTATAGTTTTTTAAATAGTGAGTTCATTTCTAGACAAGTTAGCAGAGTGGTGGTCGGCCAGCAACGCCCACTTTTCGCCGCGAAAAGCCTACGAGGCGTGTGATTGGATAATCGCTCGAGTATCCAATCATGCGCAATGGGCGGGGCGAGACGTACCACTAATCAATAGACAACAAATATTGATTTCTTTTTTATTGGCTAAAAAAGTTGTTTTAAGATACGAGAAACACACTAGAGAGGTATCACCTCAAGTCATCTCATCATCCGATACTCGTTCATTCTCACATCCAAGACGGGCCAGCTTTGAAACACGAGGTATGGGAATTCTTACGAGTATTTTGAGTACTTTAATAGTTTAACTTTAGAGCGGAGCTTTGATAACCATAGTAACTCGCTTGTGGTCGAAATTTTAGTTGTACTAGTTTAGAACGTGAAGTTGAACAGCGTTCACCGGGTCGTGACGTTTTTGATTCGATAAGAATGCAGTTCGAAAGAGGTGTCACGTGTGAATTCATCGCTACTACCTTATTTGCTTAAGAACCTTAAAAACGTTGTTTAACGTCTCCCTCCATCACGCTGCACCTCTTCCTGCTCCCGCTCCCACACCCACCGCCCACACTAGCACATTTTCGCCCATTGAAGACAGCATTTGACATGATTATTGATTTAGGAGGACAAGAGGCGGCATACTCAGAGGAGTCGCGAAGAGAAAGAAGTCGAGAATATTCATCTGATCGATACCATTCGGACAGCAGAAATGGTAACTTTTTTTTTNTTTTTTTTTTCATAGGGAATACCAAATTGGAGTGCTTCCCTTTAGGTTTGACACAGGGTTGAGCCCTGCACTTTACCTATATTGAGATCACAGAGTTAGTTTAGGTTCCGAGATTTTGCCATGTTAAACAAAGGAAATAGATGAAGGTTAACATTTTTCCGTGTAGATCAATACTGTTTCGGGATGCGCCCACGCTACGGCATCCATTCAGGATCGCAGAGGCATTTGAATGCGTAGTTGGCCCATACAATCGCTCAAGCTGGTCAGTCAACATACTAGTCAGTGGTTTTATCATCCCACACTGGCTCTATACCAATTGACAGATTTTAGAAGGGTGAAGGACTTCTTGACTTGGGCCAGTTCGGGCCTCGACCATGCCTGTGATAGTACACCAGTCGGCACTACCCTTCTTCCTCCCAGTGTAGGGGTTTTTCAACATCATCCAACGTTCCCTTCTTGCATTATTATGATATCCAGTTTCGGCCAGCGCTTAGGTATGTGAATTCCCACCGGCTTCGAACAGGAACCGATCATAATAACCGAGTTTGTAAGGCGTGGCGCTTCAAGCTACTAGACCTTTGCTATTATAATTAAAAATTGAAATCCTGATAAGTCCCATGAGTCACCACAACAGCTGCCCACTTGTTTTTTCTACCTAATTAATGGTATTTACAGTAATACATCAGCTGAAAAGTTACGGAGCACTGCGCTGGTTTACTTTTGTGATTTCAGCTTTATGAACTTTTTATTCCTCTTTTTTTCGCCCGTTAGTGAATTTCAGAAAAAATGTTTTCTGCAAGACGATTGTTCGTTTTCTACTCGTTTTCTAGAGCTTCGGAATTTTTTTCGAAAACAACGTTTTGGATAGGCTTCACTTAACGAAAACTAAAACAAAGGAATCTCTCGAGAACAAATTTGCAGAAGCGTCAGTGTGCCTTTAAAATTACTGCAAAAACCTGAAGGCGGTTGGCCGAACTATACCAGAGGGTTTTTAGACGCACAGACTGGCCGGCTAATGAGTAGGGCAACTAGCAAGTATCCTGCGGATGGAACATTCCCTGGCCTGGGTGGGATTTACCGAGAGGATATCACTGGCACCATTCCAGATGTCTCAACCCCGTTCGCTTCCTAAGCGAATAGAAGGGCCTAATAGATTAATCTACCAATTGTACAGTACTAGTAACTTATACTTGGTATTTTCAGGCTATCGCGTAGAATCACCAGCATCATCGACAGGCATTCTGAGAAGTTCCGATCGACCGGAATCTCGTTCGGAAAGCATGCGTAGCGTACAGATTCTCCGAAAAACATTCGGTTAATGCACTTGGATTCGGGCTACTGTAAAGTCATCGGCAAAAGTGCTCTAATCGAACAAAACACATACACTTTCGCATGTTGTCATTCATACGTGACTAATATTCTGCTGAAATACGTCATCTAGCTTATTTTTTTTCAAATTCTATTTCACTGTACATCATTACGAACACCTTACTGTATTTGGTTCTTTTTTTTTTTT